CGCCCCCTCTTTTCTAAGCCTAGCTCGCGGGTAGCCCTTGCGACCGCCTATTACTATTGGCTTGATTCGTGCCGCGCGCTCCTGCATCCTGTGCAGAAATTATTATTATCTTCGGAGTTGCACAACGCGACTTTGCGACTCCCGTGTCGCCCCGTGAGTCTTTTGTCGCTGGAAACAGGTCATTACTCTTAGCGCTCCGGCGGGCGGTCATCTCCCAGAGGGGTAAGGGGCGGGATGGAACAGACAGACAGACAGACAGACAGACGAACAGACAGACGGATGATCGTCATTGGCAGGCGACGATAATCGTCACGAGAAGTACAAAAGGATGGGGCTCGTAACGCCCCAGTCAAGGGCACGCGCCGGAGCGGAGCAGGGGGTTACGAGAGACTATACGCACACACAACCAAAAATGGACTCTTCAGGGTGGGTGTTTTCATTTTACCATTTCGCGTTGTATCTGTTTTGTTTTTGAATCGTTTGTTTGATACACATTTCATCATGTTGTTCTTTTTGTTTGATTATTTTTTTGTTTTTGCAGTGCTGAAAACGTATCACTGACTTCCCGGCCCGCTTGCGTGTATACTTATTGAAAAGTCACTTATTGGAACCCGCTGGCCTCCGTGCCCACTCCGCCATTTATAGAGGAAACACGCCACGATAAAGGCGACGGGGCGGGGCGGGGACGCAAGCGCGACCTCACAGTGTGACGGCGGTACAGACAAGGTTTGGGGGAGGGTCGAGGCGAGGCCGATCAACTCATCACGACGACACAACAACAACAAACTGAAACGCTAAATCAATACCGCGAAGCGTGTATGCACACACAAAACTGGTACAAGACATTTGTTTGGTGCTCCGTTCTCCCAGCTAAAGCTCTCCTTGTGACTTGTTCTCGCCACCAAAAAATCCATAGCGTCTGGCGAATGAAAACATTTTGTTCCTAATGGATCGTCCAGAAAGGACGCCCGCTTTTCCGAGATTCAATCGGCACATTAAGTGAGCTCGGCGCCTGCGAGGCTTAGGGTAGGCCACCCCGCGGTACACGCATGCACTACACGCAAGGTGTTGCCCACCCATCAGGCGTTATGAGAGCTTGCATGGGCTGAATCTTGCAGGTTCGCAACGGCGAATAATAGACGTACTTTCTGGATGATCCCTAAGGCGCAAAACATCATATAATTGCGCCCTGTCCGGGTAGTATTTTCCCCAGCGTGCCGACCACCCTACAACCGGCGGCGGCGGCGGCGTGAGAGAGCAGGGGGTTCGACCGACACGCGGACCTTCACCTTGCCCGTCCCACATATCAGAAAGCGCGAGCCTCAAGTTCACAAGGTTCGGTGAGAACTCTCTGGTTCGACAAGTGGCCTCAGCGAGCAGCGCCGCCGCGATCCTCCTCCTCACAGCCCCACTCAAGTGGTATGCTTTCTCCGGCCACAGCAGAACTTTACGATTCCATTCATAGGCAAGACGTTTAGTCACACACACACACACACACCACACATACACACACACACACACACACACACACACACACACATACACCTGTTGCTGCTCTCATCATTCTCAACAAAACGGGAAGAAAGTTCGTAAAGAGGACGCCACGGCGCGGCAGGTGGGTCGCGGTCATCACGCTCACATAGTTAAAACCTTGCAAAGCAAAATGCCAAATCCTTTACTAAGGCGAAGCAATGCTTCGTTGCAAAGAAAATGTTTTGCTTTGCAAGGTTTTAACTGTGCTCATCGCTTCTATGACGAGAGTGGCGTTTACGTTGGTCCTTTCAAACACCAACGGGCTTATACGGTAATACACGCGCAACGCGCAGCATCGGCACCTGCTGCACCTTACTGAAGCTACATGACGTTCCGCAGCCCGCACCCGCACCCTCCCCCATCCATCAAGGAAGACGGGCGGCGTGCAGCCTCTCCACGGAGAACCAGAAATGCAAGCGCGGCCGACGGCGGGTGCCGAGACGGGTAGCGCGGCCCGGGCCCGGCCATGCGTGCTGGCACCAGCTGGCGCCACCGGCCGGAGCGAGGGGGTATTCACTACCATAAAACTTGTACAGAGTACTCGGTATTACACCGAAATACGTTGTATTACCGGGTATTACGCCGGTATTACACGCAAAATTTTGCCATTTTATAGCACATTTTGTTATTTTTCGGTATTACATTACAAGTAATACCGCGTAATACCCAGGTGAGGTGTACAGGGTATTACTGGAGTGAATACCCCCTCGGGCCGGAGGGAAGGCCCGCCCATCCGTCCGCGAAACCATTCCCTCTTTATTATTTGCAGCGGCGGTCCCTCTGCGACTCTGCGAACGTGAACCGGCGGCCTGTTCCATAATGTACCACACACACGCGTTTCTAAGAAAGCAATTTTTTTTCTAATTATTTTGTTTCTTTTACTGCTATAACGTCAAAGCAGACGATTATAACTTGACGCATATATAGTATAAAATTAACACACATTGAGTGCGTCACACCAAAAAAATCATCTCGCGAGTACAGTAAACTCTGTCCAATCGAATATGACACACATCATGGTGCGTCAAGAAATTCCAAGCCCATCTTTTTTCTTCCATCTTTTTTTCTCTCTTGGCTTTGCACTCGACGTGTTATGGATACATAATCGATGGTAAAAGAGCGTGCCAGGAGTGTCATGTTATTTGCTAGCAGCAATGAGGTTTCGTCGCGCCCCCTCTCCCCTCAGAGAGTGCCGCCGCGTGTGGGGCCCCTCGGCGCCCCCGGTGGGGCCGTGCCGCGCTGGGCCGTGCTCCCGGCGGCGGAACGACCTCCCGGCAGGAGCGGAGCCCCATCCCATCAGGGGACGCAGCGGACCGCGCACCGCGGGCGACATTGGCAGCGGCGGGGATTTTAATCGCCATCAATTTTTATGAA